ATTAAATGTGCCAATGCCACTCTCAAAAATTTCAGGATACTTATTACATAACATTTGAATTGATCTTGATTTTGATTCGCTAAACAAGGCGTTTATATCAGATTGAACATTATTTACTTTTGCGATTGTTAATTTTAACATATGCATTGCATTTCTTCCTAATAAAGGTGGTCCCCCATTCTTAACAACATAGACTTTAAGTGAATAATAATTATTTTCATACTTAGCATTTAACTGTAAAAATCCTACTGGTTTAAAAGTCAACCCAGCATAATCCTTAAGGGATAAATCGTTTGAATACATTTTTTGTTGCTTAAAATGTTTTAAATATAATTTTTCCGAAATCGCGCAATGTGCAAATCCGGAATCGATTTCGAAGCTTATAGGAACATTATTTATGGTCAAATTCACATACATTGGTTCGACATTACCGTTAATGTTAAAATTATTTAAATGAAAAATTGTGTCTTCCTCCACCTGATCGGTCCTGGGAGTACTGGCTTCTTCTAAAAAATGTTGTCTAATTTTCTTATTACACACCGGAGCTAAATGCCCTTTTACACCACACTTATGGCACGTATAATTACGAAACTTGCACTGAATTGATTTATGATTTTTACGGCCACAGACACTAACTACACTGTTGCTGCACAAAATTTCCTCTTCCAGGAGACGATGCCACAGACGTAGATGGTGGAGCTGACGACGAATATGCACCAGCTTGCTTAAATACTCCACTTCTATTTTTCTTTATGGAACTGGATGTCCTCTCCGAATTTCGATGATAATACACATTTTCATCCATTTCACGGCCTTTTGACATGCGGAACGTTCCATCACCGCGGCCTCCTTGGCTTGAGCAATCTTTACCATTTAAAAAAAATTATTTACACCATTGGTGGGGTCTTCTTCAAAGAGTCGGTCCATAATTTTTACATCACCTAATCCCAAAACAAAAATATCCCGCATTACAACATCAAGTTCCTCGCCAAACCCACACGAAGCTGCTACACTTTTCACGCGTGCACTCCACGTCGCTACATTTTCTTGTGGTGACTTTTTTGCGGAATAAAACTTTAACCTTTGTGAGAAATACGATTTCACCGGTTTAAAATGGTTAGAAATGGTTTTAATTAACTGAGAGTACGTTTTATCCGTTGGTGCTTCTGGAAAACAGATGTCTCGTACCAAGAGATAAGTTTCTTCATCCTAATTGTTTTTTATTTTTTGTATTTTGTATTAGTTGAGTTGCACCTAGTTATGCAACCAACATAGCTCAAGTCGAATTTCGGAGAGAAATTTCCTCTTCGGCCAGTCATTAATTTAATTTAAACTTAAACGTTATTTAAAAAAAATATATATTTTATATTACTTTACAAAAAAATTGTATTTAAGATTTATTCAACATGTTGGTAGCTCCGTAAAACAGTTATTTTTATTGACCAATTAGAATCGCGTATTTTTCGAATCGAAAAATTTTTTTGCAAGTTTTTTTCTTTTCTTCTTCTTTTCGGTCACGTCTTGGTGTACATTTTACCAGGTACGATTATTTCTAATGTGATAAAAGGAAATTTTGGTCACGTCTTTTTCTACTGTGATTTTTCAATTTTCCAACTACTTTTCTAAATAGTTGTTTTTTAAGGTTAGTCCTTGGTTTGATCAAAAAGATGAGCAATTTCGATGTGATTGAATTCGGATTTAACAATGCCGATGAAACGATTAACTTTGGGACCCGGAATTTATCGGATGGAGACAATTTATATGAAGCCATAACATTAGCCACCCTTAAATCTTCCACAGGGGTTGAAGTGAGTCCACATCTTGTTGTTTTGAGGTGTTTTGCCATTTTTGCCATTTTTTTAGGCACAATCAAACCCTTACATCAATGCTATTGTGAAGAATGGCTCCGTTTTTTTCAACATTGATAATTCGATGCGGATTTTTGAAGACAAACAGTGTTCGTTCCAGTGTCATTTTCGATGCAACTTTTAATGCAGTTGTAGACTCCTTTTGTATTTCCTTAAACGGAGAATTTCTATTAATTTGTCTCAGGAGTGGCACATTGTATTTACTTGATTGCACGAATGGATATAAAATTGTCTTTAACAAGTAAGTTTTGAAAATTTGTAATATTTTCTTCAAATCAAATAATTTCAGGGCATATTCGTGTTCGACATTTGAGGATGTTCGCAAAATTCTTGAATATGGTTCTACACTTCAGTTGAAAAAACAAGACAAGGATGCTGAAGAATTGCAAAAACGTGTAATTGATAACATGGAAAGATTTCAGACTTTTAGGGCGATTTACACAGGCGCTGACTTGGTTTTGGAGACAACAATTTGCCCAAGCTGATCTATTAACTGAAGTCAAATATTTTTTGCAAAACGTAAGTAAATTTTTGGTTAAAATTTTTGTTATAATAAGGAAAACTTTAAAAAGGTACATGATAGATTTGTGTTATTTATTTTGAAAATGGTTACTTTTTAAATAATATATTTATTTTTTTTATAAGACGGGAAATAAAAAGAATTTTTTAACGATATCAAACATAACCGATAGTTCCGGAGTTAATTGGCGAAAATTTTGAAAACATTATTGAAAACTTCACAACTAAACCAAATGACGTTTTTGGTCCTCCGTCCAGAAACGTTGATTATACATTCGCCAAAACCGAGAAAACTAGAATTTTTTACTTTTTTCAAGCGGCTACTACGAGAAAACCGTAATAAAAATATCTCACAATTAATTTTTAATTTTTGACAAATTTAAAAATGGATGATTTTTGCCGATTTTTTGCTATTTTCTCGATAATTATAAGTCAGTGAGCTAAGATCTTTATTTCCTAAGATCGGAAAATAATATCATCCATAATTCCGAAAAATTCCGATGAAAATTTTAAAATCTCAATAATCTCAGATCTGAAAAATTTGCGTGTGTTGTAGGTCTTAAGTTTCGAAAAAAACGCGCACTTTTCTATTTGTCGAATTTTGACGACGAAACGAGTTATTTATCGCAAAGGCAGTGTTGTCAAAATCTATATTATTGGTTTCGATAAAACCGCAAAATTTCGGGTAGTTTCGAATCAATCAACTGAAAAAAAAATAATTCAAAAAAAATTACGAAATATCGTCAAAAACGTGAGTTTCAAAATTAAACCAAATTACGTTTATCGCACTTTCAAGGGTCCTGCAGACTTGGAACAATGCATACACGTGTCCCAAAAGTAAAGCGAGTGATAGAAAATGTTATTCAGAGGAAGAAAATTCAATTGTTTTTCTGCATTCGTTAAAGACTTACAACTTAAGAGTAACAATGAATTTTGTACAAGTCGTGATAAATAAAAACGATGAAAATATGAAGCAATTGCTTAGATTCAAGTCTCTTTCAATTGAAGAGGCCTTTTGAACAATTTTTGTAGTTATTATGTCTTTACTTAATTCTCAATTTTTTCCAAGTAGATAGTTTTTTTTATTTTATAAATGAATCGTTTTCCGACTCATATTTATGTTTATGTCACACTGACAGTATCAATATGGTATTAATTAAATGAGACTTGGAACTTATTATTATTATTTATTATTAGTATGAAATTATAAATCGCAGAGGATGTCCTATTATGCGATTTAGTACAAAGTTAAAAATTCGCTTTTCAAAATATTTGTATATTTGTGAGCAAATAAGTATAAGTCGTAATAATAAGTATATTAATGTAAAAATAATATTAACAGTATATTTGTTAAAATTGTCGTAATTTTTTTTAAAGAAATACACATTTTCAGTCTCAACAATTTGGTTGCTTAATTTGTTCCACTTATTATTAAAACTTCTGTTTGTTAAAAAGTGTTGGCGCATAGTGGTTTTAAATGCCTCTTTTTGTATTTTAAATTTATTTCCTCGAAGTCTTGAACTGTCAGCAAGTTTTAAAAATGTATCAGTAGTTTCTGGCATTAAAGAATATGTAATGCGATAAATTTGTATAAGATCGACTCGATCTTGTCTATCTCCGAGTTCTGGAATTTTCAATAATTTAAGCTTTAAACTTAGCAATTGTTTCATAGATGTTATCGTTTTAAATATGTCAATTTGAACAAAATTTATTATTACTTTTTGCTAAGCTATCACGCTTTAACATGTGCGTCGTTACATTTTTTTTTAACATTCTAAAAAACAATAATCAATAGAAAAAAAATAAAAAAAATAAAAGTTTTAAATTTCGTTTTTCTGAACCAAAATCGTCTATGATAAAAAAGTAAAAAATGTTACTAAAAACGTGTGCAAAAGCTATTTTGAATCTTGTTTTATACAAGATTTTTTTCCAATTTGGTTGTGAAAAGCATGATGGAATTTAATTTTTTTTTCTTAGAATGACATATTCTATCACTGGTTACTTTTGGATATCCTGTTTAATGTTTGAAGAAAAGTATTATTTTCAATTGTTAAATGTGTCAATCTAAAAATTTTAGGTCGCAATACCTTTTGAAATACAGTTCTTCGAACGAAAAATGCTGCACGAGTAATAATATGCAGATTTTTATAATTTTCGGTCTAATATTTTTTGGTGTTTCATGATTAAGTCTAATGTAAAATAATCTGAAGAATCCAAATCCACTAAGCATTTTTGGTAGGACTGTATCTTTCAAGTAATATTTTTTTTAATTTGAAAAAGTGGAAATTTTAAACACGTTTCTAATTGAAACTGTATTTTTTATCAACTTCCCGCTTTCACTGTTTGATAAATAATAATAAAATGTAAATTTTTGGCAGTATTTTTTTCTTTTACTTAAAGTAAAAATGAACTCATGTTTAAAAAATAATTCAAGTTTCTTTAGAAAGCATTAGCCTACATTTTAGAAATACATAAATAGAAGCTGTTTTACAGTTTTGGATTCTAAAACTAAAACAACTATGACTATAAAATTATACAGTGAGGATTGTATTTTGCTGTACATCAACACTATTAACTCTATGTTTAGTTAAAAAAAAATTGCCAATACATTACAAGCAACTACAACATATCCAAGCAACCCTTGCGACATGTATTGACACCAATATTTAAAAACTGAACATGGAAACGCATGTTCATCGAAATAAAATCCTCACTGTATAATTTCCTGTGCGTATAGGACAGAACATTTAATTACAATTTAAATTTATATGAAAAAAAAAATAATAAAAATAAAGTCACTATGTTTTTAGCATGAAATCGACGAAGCCAAAATGATTTATAGCCGCCTAGACGAGTCGACAATAGAAACCCTAACA